GGCCGATATATCGTGCATCCCTAGAATATATATAACCATTTCCTCAGAATGAACAAATTCTGAATGATTGAGGTTTAGCATGACCACAGAATTTACATAGAACTGGTTATATAAACTGAAATCATTGCTTAAGTGATACAATATTACACACAAGAGCAGCAGGGCAGAATATGCAGAAATTCATAACTTTATTAAAAACAATTTGCAAACAATTGATGCGCAGTTTACAATAAACATACAACTTCACATATGCGCACACATTGGCACACAAAACTGCCTCTTAATTGCTTTAAAAAAATAATTAAATCAAAATCTACATTTTGGAGTAAATCAAACTGCACAGTAAAATAAAATACATACTGGTGATTAATCATAACATTTTCTATGCAATATGGCTGCATACATGACTAACACCCTCATTCCAATGCAGAATCAAGAGAACTAGTGAGCATTAGCACTAATTCAAAATTCAGTACCATAATTTACTTTAACCACAGCAAAAACTGCAATAAGTTACTTCACATTTGAAGTATTAAACAATTGAACTCTCCTAAAAAGTTACAGAAAATACAACTAAAGTAACAGATCGGCAGTCTAATTTGCAGGAATATGGATAGAAAAAGTATTAGAACAGTGGCCTGTTTATAAGCATGTAATGAGGCTTTTCCAGGAGATGTGGAAAAAAAAATAATTATTGGAATGGACAAAGAAAAAGAAATAATGCTGGGGAATTAAAGCTACAAAAAAAATAAAGCTACTGAAAAACCTACAATTCTCCATGGGACACTAAATGTTTCATAATCATGTGGCGATTTACGCCACAGATGTCCATGATGGCTTAGTAAGACTTCAGTCTTCAGTGCAATCCAGATACTGAAATACATTCAACATTAAGGGGGACTAGATTAGGGTCATATCCAAAGTTCACTTTCCAATCTAAAGTTCAAAAAAATGAGCCAAAACTGTAGTACTGGAACTCGCAGAATCATTACATTGTTGTTTACACAATGAATCACACCGAAATGCATCAACATTTCTTTGCACAAAATCATTTGGTAACAAAAGGCATAAGACGCTGTAGCTCAGAAAAACAGATTTGATTTTACCCAGAGATCACTAGATCACCACACAAAGCACTCGCTCCTTGATCTGTGCCCCGAGATGCTGAACACTGGCAAAAAGCAGACTAAATGAAGGAGCACCAAATGCACTTTGGATCATTCAATAAAGAAACAACTCGCTGATCTTCTGTGATCCTTAGCTAGCCTATGATGCCGAGATGTTTCTTTTTCCCCAAGAAAGCAAGCAAGAGATTCTCAAATGGACAGAAGCGTCCACATTGAGAGCAGAGAAATACTCCATTTTGAAAACCAGTATGACAAAGTTCATAGACAAATCACACAGCTCATGCAATTCACCACACTAAAAATAACTTTAAAAGGACATTTTTTAGGATACAGAAACCCATCTGTACAGTATCAGACAACAAACCTTGGATCCCGTAGCAGTGAGACCCATGCGTAAATGGTCAATGTCAAATGCGACAAGGACAATTCTAGAATTCATGAAGTTCAGTCTGTAGTTCATCCACTTAGTTATGCCCACCAATCTCGCCAATCCAGATTTCATTCAGGAACTAAGCAGCACCATCAACTAACCTGATCGCTCATATCCTGAGCAGGTCATCCAGTGCTAGCGTGTCCAGGTCACAGGAGTCAAACAGATCACTTATGCCCTGCTCATCACCCAATCCCAGCATGTATTCATCGCTGAGAAGAGCAGGGGACAGCGGCACGAAGGGGATGGACTCCTCCGGCTGCTGGAGAATGGAAGACAAGGAGGAACTGAGGGGTGACATGGGGGCACTTTCAGTCAGGGGCCCATAACCGTTGACGCCACCGTTTGAGCAGCCGTTCATCTTCACACCATCAGCCATTCCATCTGTAGCAGCTTCTGAAATAAAGAACAGGAAAGAAAATACTTGAAGGATGAAATTTATTGGAAGAACCAAGGTATTGTTTGCTGTAGAAGTTCTTGCCTTGGGAGACTTTGAGAAACGCAGGGTGATTTCCATTCACATCAAGGCCATTTTGTAGCAGGCTCCCAGAGTCACCACCGTCCGTACAGAGGAAAACATCAATGGGACCCTTGGAGCTACTCAGGTGGACCTGTAGACTCTGAACGGACATTAAAAAGGAGTTTAAGTATATGGAACAAATATAAATCACTTTCACTTAAATGAGCTGCCTCTACTAGATCCAAAGTAACTATTAGGGCTGAACGATTAATTGCATTTGCGATAATATTGCGATAT